CAGACGGATTAACTCCACCTTTATAAGCATGACAGAGAAATATAGCATTTATTTGTACAAGGCTACAAATGCACTGAAAGAAATCAAATACAGACATTTTAATACAGCAGTCCAGTCGCCTAAACATTCTCCTCTTCCAGAGGATAATAAATACGTCATCACATATTGGATTGAGTTAGAATTGGCCACAGCTAGAATCAATAAAGCTAGAGCATCCACTCTTGAGACATGGAGACAGGTTTGTTTTGATGTGCTGGAAAGACTGAAGCAAATGGTCTGATGCATGTTGCATAAGAGCATCTCTTTATTTTTTGATTTAACTTATTCCTTTCATCCAAAAATTGATTTAATCTACTCTATTTGTAATGTACAGACAGATCAAATGGGAGGATGGGAGGGATGGAGAGGGAAAGAGGGAGTTGATTGTTGATTGAAGTTTGATTTTGTACTGTAATATGGTGATAAACAGCAAATTCAAAATAAAAGATCACAAAAAAAGTCAGTCACATTTAAATATCCAACGCCGATCATTTATTCTAAGCATTTATCTGCCGATACTGATTCCGATATTATCGTGCATCCCTGATTTTCATTCTGACAGCACAGCGCTTGCCGTGAACTACAGACTCCCTAATCTGGCCCTCTCTCGCGTTCTTAAATTTCCTTGTAATGTTGTTTTCCACACTGTGTAGTTGCAGATCCGAAGAGGCCGGAATGAAGAGGCCGTATTTAAGGTGCATATGACACTGGAGTGATTTCACGACACCCGAGACGCGGGAGCTAAATGGCGCTGAAAATATATTTACGTACGCGGAATTCCCTCGAAACATTCCAGCCAATAAACACGAGTCGGTGTTCGTTCGGCGGTGTCCGGTGATGAGACGCCACAGCCACGTCTCAGAAAGACACAGCAAGAGAGAAACAGCATAGACAGAGAGAGAGAGAGCAACGTGGCAAGCGTCTCATATGCCAGAGCCACACAGAGGAAGCACGGGCGGCGGAGGCAGAGTGACAGGCGGCTGGGATGAGCCATGCAGATAGGCAGGCCTGGGTAAATGTCAGCCGCGCAGGTTGAAGTGTTTGCATACAAGAGGATGATGTATGGCCTCCGCCGGTGCCATTTATTCCCCCAAGCAATAATGCCATCGCCAGCGTCTCACACACTACACTATATTGAAATGGCTCTTTGTAGGCAAAAAAAAAAAAATAAAAGAAGACTGGTTTAAGTCCCTCACTGGAATCTACACATACAGCCTCGGACAAACTCCCGCTCAGACGCTGGGGGAAAACGAAGGGATCACATTTCACATTCTGCCTGAGCTATATGTGCTTTGTTTGGCATCTTCTATTCCTCCTCCATCTGGGCTTTCACCTGGCGTCTGGCCGACACATACCTCCACTTATCTTCCCCTTCCCTACACATGCTTACTACAAGTTAGCTCAGCAAAGACAAAACCCATCCAGACGTAAATAAAACATGTGGCTACTTTTCCATTATGAAAATACTAGGAGGGGGAAAAAGAATCAATCACCATAATTAGATTTTGATATAAATATATGCAAAAGCTTGGCCGTCCAGGTCAAGTGACGCACTTTTGTTGATTTTCTATGTTAGAATTAGTTAAAACATTCTCTACAGAGGATGCACAATTTCTGTTCATTGGCTGAATTTAACATATTTGAGAAAAAAAAAAAAACATAGACTGTGCCAAGTGCACAAATTGTAACACATACAATGGCATTATATTTTATCTTCAAATACGTCACACTCAGTGAATAGAAATTGTGCACTAAAATGTTCTATATATATAGAAAATCTCTGTTCTCTGTGGAGGAGGGTGTTAAATTATTTTCACTTAGAAAATCACATCAGAAAATCAATTGGACACAGGTGCTCAGACCTTTGCATACAACAGTAGGTTTAACATAACACTGGAAACCTCATTAATGTGCTAACGAATATAAGCAATAGTGTAGTGATAAAATGACAGTCCTGATGAAGCATAAAGGTTTCTACAGTAAACACTGACAAATATGAGCATGTTTACAATAATATAAGAAATAAATCTATCAGTAATATAGTTTTAACCTATAAGATGGTGAAGCAAGCCAACAGATTTTCCAAGGGCTCTGAGCGTAAGCTACATTCAAATTCAACTAAGCCAGGTACACTTGTTAAGGACAATAATAACATAATATAGGCTGTAGAAATCAAGAATTGCTTATAATTGCATCTTGGCACCCCTAGAAAAACCTTCTCGGTTAGAATTACACACACACACACATATATATATACATATATATATATATATATATATATATATACACACATAGGCAGTAAGTTCTGAGTCAAACATATAAACAGCTCAGTGCCCTTTTTGCTACTAGCATAATCATCTGAGGAAAATAAACCCATAAACAACACTCCCCACTCCCCAAAAACAAAGATTTGAATTACATAATTGCCGAGAAGCCAGTGATCAGTCTACTGGAAATATTGCGAAATGCAAAGCAACACATCATCACAACGCAGCACAGTTTAGCTTCAGCACCATCAACAATGCTACCAAATGACTCTGCGAATGTGAAAAGCAGACATGATCACTCCAACCAAAACACAACTTCGTGCCACTTTTTCTGTTTTAAAAAAGAGGGTGCTGCTTATACGGCAGCGTCCACTGGGCTTTGTGCGTAAGAAAAGAGAGACGTGATTGTGTTCATCCTCTCTTCTCCCTGAGGTATTGATTTAAAATGGTGACTGGAGGAACACACCGCGGACCATGTAATCTTCCTTTGAGATGATGACTTCCGAGAACGAAAAGAGGGGGGGTAGAAAAAGAAAAGGGGGGGGGCATCCAGACCTCAAGCTGAGAATGTGAAATTGTGGACAATTATTTGCTGAGCGAAATACAAAGGCTGCCAGATGAACTGGAGCTTAGCCATGAATACCAGTGGCTACCCTCAAAGGCTACAGGGGGGAAGAAGTCTGCATTCTATTTACTTCCCCCCAATGTGGGCATGTGATTAAAGAAAAGTGAAGCCTTCATACTTTTTCCCCCCGTGTAGTCTTGGTGTAGCCTTCACAGCCTGGATAGTTACAGAAATAAAATGAAACTCAACCAGAAAGCAGTGCGCTCACACGTTTGCCTGTACTGTGGTCAGTTTGTGGTAATCAACATCACCAGAAGTTCCTCCGTCCACCCCAAACTTGGGGAAACAGGGCCCTACGGATCTAATGCAACCTGCTTGAGTCAAAACCACATTTACCCTGAACCTCTTACACCCACAACCAACCCACCTGCAGAGTCTCAGCTCGGACCCCCCAACCCACAAGCACGCCTGGCCGAGGGGTTCGAGCTGACCTCTCCAGAAGAGTGGATGTCCATGAAGAACAAGGCTTGGACGGTCAGTATCCCTCTTTCTGTGTTTAGTGTTTCCCCCACTACTCAAAACTGTCCCACAAGCCATGTCACGTGACCCCAAAGGCCACAAGGAAAAGTTGCACTCCCATCAACCCTCAGTCCACATGCCAGCACTGTCCAAGTCTACAGAAGCTAGAAGCTTTCACACTCTTTATTTTCACCTTTTCCCCCCAAACGAAGAATATCAGAGCTGGGGGTCTACACTCAGTCAGCCCTGGAGACCCCAAAAGTTTCCCAAGCACACGAGGAGGGTGTAATTAGTTAACTAACACGTTCAGAATCAGAACTGCGCGTCCCATAACAGACCTACACTTCACCACCTCCAAAAGTTCCCATTCGCCAAGCTTCTTGTTCGAATTTTCCCGTTCCACCTTAAATGAATGTAACTGCTGCACTATTTAAGGTGGAACGGGGAAATTCGAACAAGACGCTTGGCGAGTAGGACGCCAGCTTCAGTCTCGTCCAAAAGTTGACCCTAAAAGAGGCAGTCAGCCCCCCTGCACGACAACAACAACTACAGCCTCGTCACCCCTCCGCCCCCCCCTTACTCCTACCCCTCGGACCGCGTGCAGCCTTCACCGCGTTAAAGCGTTCTACTACCACAGCAGTCCTGCGCCCCGCTCCACAGACGGCACTTACCTTTCAGTGATCTTGGTTTTGCCTGCTTGCGGCGCGACATCCTAACAGGGGGAAGGAGGACGGCGTTCAGTGTGAGAAGAAAAAAAAACACACACACAAAAAAAAGAAAACAGAGAGAAAAAAGGACAGAAAGAAGAAGAGTCCTGAACTGACAGCGCGAGGGTTTCTTTTTCTCTTGTTTTTGGTTTTAGCTAAATCATGCTTTCCGGAGAGAAGGAGGAGGGGGTCGGTTTTGGTTTTGCTTCTCTCTCTCTCTCTCTCTCCCTCTCTCTCTCTCTCTCCCTCTCTCTCTGTCTGTCTGTATGTCTCTCTCTCTCTCTTTTAATTATCTTTTAACACGAAATCTGTGTTGGGAAAAAGTGCGAGGACGCACTAAAATCACGCGCTAAAATCCGTCGCGCGCCCATCATCATTCTCCGAGCCGCTGCAACTCTCTCTCCCGCTCTCCCTCACTCTCTCTCTGGCGCGCGCGCACGCACGTGCCGCGGAGAAAACCGCACGCGATGATAACGTGAGGTGCAAAAATAATTTTTTTTTTTTGCTTATGTCTCTGATGTTGGTATTGAGTGAAAGAGGCATGAGCAAAAAAAAAAAAAAGAATAAATGAATAAATTCGCCTATTAACGCGAAAAAACGGCAAAACACGACGAAAAAAAAATTAAACACTTTTCTCCTCCGTAAGCGACTAACTAACTCTCTCTCTCTCGCTCTGTCTCTATCTCGCTCTCCCCGTGCCGGCTGTGAAATCGAAGAGTAAAGTCAGCGTCTTAATTGTTTTTTTTTTTCTTTTTTGTTGTTAAAAAGAAGAAGAAAAAGAAGCAAAAGAAGAAGGAGAAGAAGAAGGAGAAGAAGGAGAAGGAGAGGAGGAGGAGGAGGAGGAGGAAGAGGCAGAAGGAGAGAGGAGAGGATGCGAGCTGGAGCTCCTTCCTCATCACAAACCTGCGAGGTCTTGGACTGCGCCGTCGCTCCGGTAGTCCACATAATAATGGAAAATGGAAGCGAGGCCCCCAAAGCCATGCGGATGGCTCCAGAGGGGGCCCGGAGCCCGCAGGGACTCGCTCTGTACGTAATCACTGAGGAAATCATTGTCAGCCTGCCTGCGCTAGAGCACTCACGGAGAGGCATGATTAAAATCGGTGGCAAAACCCGGCTGGAATCCGTGCGCGCGCGGATCCGGAGTCGCTCGCGCTCTCAGCAGCCCCAGCACGAGGGGAAGGACTTTTTTTTTTAACGAGAGAAAAAAATAATAAAAATAAAATAAAAAGAATAAAAAGAAAGTTGGCGCGCGCTTTCTGTCTGCTTTTTTTACTTCTTTTTTTACTTCTTTTTTCTTTTTTTTTCTTCCTACCCGTTTTCAGCCTCCTGCGCTACGATTGGCTGGGAGGCTTTCCTCATGTCCGCAGCGATTGGCTAACCGTGGTCCCCCTCCTGCGCTGTGATTGGCCACTTAGGGTTCCTCTCTTTCACACGCATTGGCCGTCATGAGCCCGCCTCCTGCGCTGGGATTGGCTAGATGCGCTAAACTCCTAGCCAATCCTGAGCGAGGGCGGGCGGGGCTTGTCAGAATACGGGTGGAGGAAAGGTGAAAAGCAGGACCGCTTCTCCTCCTTTCGGCAGAGACGTGGAGAGTGTGTTTTCAGCGTTTTCTGGTCTACGTTTGCGGAGGAATACCTTTAAGAAGGGGGAGATTCGGTCGAGCATTAGTTTAAGGTGATTTAGACATCTAGTGGGAGTTAAGATAAGACGAAAAGACTCAGAATTAGCAAAGCAGAGGATGTTATTTTCAGGGCTGTTTATAAATGAATCCCTGTATAATTCAGTGCATCAGAAAATGATGCAAGAAGGTGCTGAATATAACATCATCAGGCTGTAGAGGCTCACTTTCAGCTTGAATTCATTTCTTTTGCTTAAGTGGATGTGTGTGTCAGAAATTCTCCTCAGTTTATTCTACGTTTTGAGGAAACTCCACATGTCCTTCAGGATGAACGCCTTGAGCTCCAGGCTTAGTACTGTTCTTAATATTAAACCGTGATAATAAAAATTGAATATGAATACAAAAGGGATTAATAAATAATTATCGTTCAGTAAATTCTCTATATTATTCTATAACTACCCTGAAACCTGTATGTTACATAGTTATGAGAGTAAGAAAGCGAGGGACCTTTATTGTTTAAGGGTTTAGTAAACTGTTATCTGTCCACAGACTGATGACAAATTAAAGGAAAACCCAAATATTTAGGATGAAGAAACAGAACCACCCAGCAAACACAGTTACATTGTGACAACATAGTGACAACCTTGTTTTGGTGCCCACAACGCTGAAATGTAACTAGAAAGGGAACGTTAAATACACTGGCACCTTAAATTCACTGATGCCTTAAATCCAATGTCACCTTAAATTTACTAATACCTTTAATTCAGTGCCACCTTAAATCAATTATTTGTGCTAATATTGCTGTGCATTAGGCTGTGTGTGAGATAGTTTTATGAAAAGCGTACGTCAGATTCCTTAGAAAAACACAAGCACATTATTCGGGTATAGGATCTACAATCCTGCAATGTTTTGTGGTTCTAGCTTGAAAACTGCAGGGCAAGAAACATTTTTTGAGCATAGAATAATAATAAGAAGAAGATTACAAAGAACTGTAAGTTGGCTTTTTTTTAGTTCCTCAGAAAGTTGTGACAACTTTATCTGACAAAGTAGTAGCAACATTGTCAGTAAGTCACCAATAGGTAGTCATGACACTGTCCAGCAACGTTACTGAATAATGAGGTTGTGACAACGTTGTGGCAACCTTGTCCAGACAACAGAAACAGCACAACCTTTCAACAACGTTGTAGCAATGTTGTAAAGAAAGTGGACAACGTTGTGACAGTGTTGTGTGTTTGCTGGGGAGTGCTTCCAGAGAGCTGTACTCTGAGATACAAATAAATAGTTAACATCCTGCCATGTTCTGTGGCAGGCATAAAAATGCTGAGCATGCCCACTTGACCTCGATTTTGGATAAAGATTGCAAAATGAAGAAAGGGTGTTATTAGAGCAGGCATGGCAGGAGCTCCAGTCACAAAGATGGTGACTGCATTTAGATCAATGGGAATATGTCAGTAAACAGGGGCTGTATTACAGAAACTCCCTATCTTTTTGTCTTAAGATCTGACAGGTCAAGATTAGATTTTTCAAATCTTATATTAATTTAGGGATCTCATCTTAGAGCATCTTGCTTCATCTAAAGTTAGGAAATCTTAACCATTGAAGTTGATCAAAGTCAATTGCTGCTCGACAATAACAGCAGAGCAATATGAGAAGAGAATAAGGTTTGACCATTGGTGTAAGATACGGAAAAGGGGGAAAGCAGAGGAAGCAATGGCTGTGATTAAACAGTTTGAGTCAGTGCATGCAGCAGTATTATCAGGAGAGTCAGTGGCGTGTTTTGACGGGAAGTTTTGATGGGAAATTAGGTAATGAAGGGCAGTCTCTGACTTTTGAGCAGTAATGTATATTAAAGGTGGAGTAGGTGATTTATATTAGAAACATTCTTTGTTATATTTCTTGAAGTACTCTTTACATCCCAATGGCAATCAATAAATCAAATGCTCTGACAATAAAAAGAAAAAAATATTATCTGTGGAGGCCACAATACACAATAGCTGATACTGTTAAAGAAAGAAAGTAAAGAAAGACAGAAGCAGAAAAGGCTTTCAATGAGAAGAGGTTGAATAAAGCAGGAGGTCAAATCAGAGTGAACATTGGTGTGGCTTTCCAACAGTGGCGAAACCTGAAGGAGTTGGAAGGCCTTGAAAGTGACGCCAAGGTTGCTTATTTTCTGTTGGACAGGTAATTATCTGGTTTGTTTTGTTTCTGGGGGAATTTGTTATTTTCCTGATTTATGTAGCCAACGTGGCTAGCTACTCATGTAGCTACATTATATATTAGTCCAATGCCAATGTTAGCTAATTATAGGTGTACGCTAGCTAGCTATGCTTGTCTTGTATAGTCAGCCATGTCTGCACTGTAGTTTTGAGCAAGTGTTGTTTGATGGTATTTATCTTAGTTATGTTAGTCTTATGATAATGACACATTGCGCACCTCTCTCCAGCGATCTCAGTCGTGACTAGTCAGGCCATGTGTGTTCATGTGTTTTTGGGGGAGTGGCTTTGGAAGGCTGATAGTAGGGGTTTGGATTTGTAGAAAGCACTTCCTGCTTTTTACAAAATCACCCTCTCCAACTTTGAGAGTAATTATCATTAACATTCTAGTTTGGTTCATGTCAGTTTAGAACTTCAGTGTAAATCAGAACGATTTATCTTTTTTTTTTGGGAAAGATACAAAACTATCCCACATGAGCTGATATTTTAGTACGTGTATTTTAGTTTGTGATAATCACTTAAGTTAGCTATATTACACTGTCTTAACACATGCAGGGTATTGTAAAATTTTTGCCTTGGTTTCCAAAAATGCATGCACACACCTTTCCATGTGTGAAATTCATGTGACTTTTTTTGGCCTGTGTGAACAGCGGTGTTACTAACTCTAATGAACAAAGCTAAAGGGCTTCTTGCAACAAGATCGGCCTGGTCATCCAGCTCTCTGGGTTTCTGATCTGATTTATCTTAGTGCAGATCCGGCTCATCTCACCTGTCCAGTCCTTACTCCCCACCTATGTGAAAATGAGACCCAGGAAGGACCCCCTGCAGAGGGGCTCACACTCTCTGTTCTCACCCCTGAGGACTGCTAGATCACTCTCCCCTCACCCGTATCCAAAAGTTATTGGAAAAGGACTGCAGTTGAACCCAGATGACACAGAGTGTCCTCTTGCCCACAGAGGGGGAAATAGGCTCTCTACGCCATGTTTGGAGATGAAATCGGGGGAGAAAAGGTGGCTTATGAGATCCGTGTAATGTCAGGTTCACAAGAGATGGCCCGAATTTTTACTCAGCTAGTCTTTGCTACCATTGTCAGAAATGACAGTAACTCAGTAGATAACAAATCGTAAACGCTGTCAGACGAGCGAATAAAGACAGTTTCAGTGTGTTCTGTCCAGTGGTGGAGTGTAGTCTGAAGTAGTGGGTATACTGTTACTAGCAGTTAGCAAGGCTAGCCCACCTAGCACGTAGCAACCTGACTAAAACAGTAAGTGGCATGTAAAGAAATGAGCTACAATAGAAGTACAGCCGCACATTAAGAAACAGAATGTTTAGGCTACGCTGGGCTCCTGTGCTAAAATACCAGTAATTTATTAATTTTACAACATTTGTAAGTCTCTACAATAAGTGTTATATCTATCTATCTATCTATCTATCTATCTATCTATCTATCTATCTATCTATCTTGAACTAAATTACAGCATTAAATAATTGATTACGTTGTATGATTAGTTGTCAGTTGGCATAATACAACATAATATATCTCAGTGCTGCCCAAAAATAAAATGCATCTTCATTTTTTTGATGATATGTTTATCTCACTTGAACAGAACAGCTGTCCTTTACATTGTGTGAGATTTTTATTATTAATGGACGAACAGAAATACTCTAAAATCACTTACAATAAAACCTCTTTACATTAACATTCATTAAAAGTTAAGAACATCTTTACCTTCTTCTGTAAATCACTTATTAAAGATATATATTTTTCTTTGGACAGTGCTGATATGTTAAAAGTCTCTTTTGCTGTAAGCAGAATCTAATGGACACCAATTTATATACAATATTTTACTACATATAAAGGGGATGATGAACAAAATAACATGAAACTACATGACCATGTGAAATATTTACATTTATTGGCCATTTTATCAGAAACACCTGTCATATAGGTCAGGAGTTCTTAATCTGGGTGTTGCGACGTGGTTTCAGAGTGGTAGCAAAAGTGATGCTATGGAGGTATATACCTTATAAAACACAGAGAAAATAATGTTTGATGAGTGGCTGGTGAAAAAGGACTTGAATAAAAAAATGGGAAATGAATAAAAAAAAAAAAATTGTTTCCAGTACTGAAAAAAGGCAACACTTACTTGAAGGGTGTCTACATAACACATGTATAACATCTTACATAAACACTTCATAACATG